ACCTGGTTGATGGCTATTCTGTAATTATGTCACTTTGCTTCTCGATTTGTTTCCTTGAGTCAAATCTTCCTTTTAATCTGAGTTCTATTGCTTTATCATCTTTTCTTTAAATTATTGTTTTATTTCATCTGTATTCTTTGACTTATATATTCCTTTGCACTTTCTCATTTGATTTGATCCTTGAAATAACACTGAAGAATAGGTACTATTATGATTCCCATTTTATAGGTAAAGAAATGGACTCCTAGGAAATTATGCATCTTGGCCACAGGTCACAGCTAGTAAATGGAGGATCCAAACTAGCAACCGAGGCCCTCACCTCCAAAATGCTTGCTTTTTTCATGCTTTGAGACAGACTATAATTAGGTGCTATATTGTATAGTACAGCCTCTAAGACTAATTCAGCTTCTAAACTGAACAGGAATAAATGAACAACACATCTACAGTACATGTAACTTATTGAAAACCCTCCTAAATGAGACAAGAACAGCAGCATACCAGGTGGGATTACTGCCCTGATCTCTCTTAGCACTTACCCTGGTACCTAAAAGGATGAATTCTGCTGCTACCACCTAAAGTGTGTATGTGTATGTGTACGTGTGTGTGTATGCATATGTGTATGCGTATGTGTGTGTTTTAAGCAGCTGATACAAGTGATAGTACTATTGACATAGATTTTAGAAACCCAATTTAATAACAAGGAAACAGGATTAAAACAAGAATATGATGTGGGTTTGCTTGGGCCTTGATGATGTCTGAGAAGAGCCTTTATTTGGAATATCCCTCCATCCTGAGCTCTTAGAAAAGGACCAGGTCACACAGGGTAAACCTGTGTGGCAATTAATGTGGTGGATTGCAGAACCTTGCCCTGTGTTAGCGGACTTTTCTAGCACTTGGAGGGGCATAGTGAAGTTCAATTATTCCTGGAAAGGATATCTCTCCTGAGTTACAGTTTTAGAAGAATGGCAATGAAATGACAGGCTACTCAACGATAATCTATACTGAGACTGTTGTAAACCGAAGATGAGGGGAGGCAGCAAGACTGACTCAAAGAACAGTCATGCATCTAGACTTAGCTGCCCTTCTGTATTAGAGCAATTGCTGGTTGAATTTATGTCCTATTTTCCAATATCTTTATCAAGGAGTTGTAATCAAACCTAGGATAATCAAATAATTATTTTCCTTGTTTCCTAAAGACTGATCTAGGGAGATGCATATAGATCCAGTGGTGAAAAAAACCTGCAAAATATTCTAATAAGTTTGGATGTCTTTAATTTAACCAAGCCAAGAGTTTTCTTTTCTGTAGAATTCCTCAAAGCTATTAATATGCTAATGCACTCTGAATTTGCAAGAGGGATATGTATTACAAAGAAGTTCTAAGTTATTTGATCATGAAGCCCTTGTATTCATGGACTCCTGGAACATATTTCAAGAAATGTTGCTTTCTTCTAATCATAAAATATTCAAACTAGAAGATGCCTCAAAACAACTCCAGTTTTAAACGCTAATTTACAGGAAGGGAAACTAAAATTTAGAGACTTTAAGTGACTTCCCCAAGGTCACATAGCTCTTTGGTGATAAAGGTAGAACTAGAATTTTTATCTTCAGATTCCTGATCTTGTGTGAAACTGATCAAAAATAGATTAAGTCACAAGATGCAATGACCTGAAGGCAGGCCTGTTTGCTCCCTTCCACGCATGTGATATGTCCTTCTTTGCCAGTGAAAATAATGAGACCTAAAATTATTTCCTGTGGACCCAAAATTGCACTTCTGACAGCTCATGAAATCCTCTCTCTGAAACCTTATTACATCTCTGCTCTCCCTAAAGATTCAAGAGTCTAGGGGTAACCTCTCTAAATTCTGCATATAAGGCCTACATCACAGATATTCACCTGAGTATCTTACTATATTGTGCCCTCCAGCAACACTTAGAGAGCAACTCCCCTTCCAGCATCCTGTTGCAAGTTGAGGAGTCTGTGGAGAGAGGCAATTTTATATACTGAGGTTACCTGGACAGCCTCAGACCCCATAAGCAGAATTTAGAGAGGGCTTGAAATTTAGAAAAGGGACCACCTTTCTGGTAAGCAGTGGGGCAGTGTATATCAAAAACCCTTACCAGCTTCATACCCTTTAACTTTGAAGGAAATAGCAGAAAGTGTATTTTCAGATTTAATTGCATTAGTATTTGTCAATATACTATTTTAATAAAAATTTGAAATAACCTGAGTATCCAATAATAGGAGATATCAAATAAATCAATACACATCTATTAAATACTATATAGCCAATAAATTTATGTTATAGACCATTCATGGAAAGATGTCTAGAACAGAGCTTCCCAACCAGTTTGCTGGGTATTGAGATTTTGATGTCCTTTGTGCTCATGGCAGGTAGTCAGGGTCTAGTGTGGCCAGAGTCCCCACTGAAATGTCTTAAAATGCAAGCAGGCTCTTCTTTCACCCAAGTGTACCGTAAAATTACTTGGTTTTTAAAAATGTGTGCCATGATGTAAAAGTGTTCAGAAAACTGATCTAAAACATATTGCTGGGAAAAAATTATGAAGTATTATTACATTGAGATTTGAGATATACCCCAATGTCTGATTGAAAACATACCTTGCCTATATCTGGAATACTAGTAATTTTTATGTTTTTGTTTATTTGCATTTCTCTTTTTAAGTAAAAAGTTGTTTGTTTTGTTTTGTTTTTTTTGACAGAGTCTCACTCTGTCACCTAGGCTGGAGTGCAGTGGCACGGTCTCAGCTCACTACCTCCCTCCCCTGAGTTCAAGGGATCCTCCCACCTCAGCCTCCTCAGTAGCTAATTACAGGCATGCTCCACCACATCCGACTAACTTTTTAAACTTATTTTGTATTTGTAGTAGAGACGAGTTTTACCATGTTAGCCAGGCTGGTCTCAAACTCCTGACCTCAAGTGATCTGCCCACCTCAGCTTCCCAAAGTGCTGGGATTACAGGCATGAACCACCACACCTGGGCCAAAGTATTATTTAATAAGAATAATATAATAATTTTAATGCTTACATAGCTCTTAATATATTTTATTTGGTTTGATCCTCAAACAAACTTATGAAGTAGTTACTGCCATCATTGTTTTCATTATATAAATATCATTTTTTAAGTCCATATTTGAAGCTAGTAGGAACTGGACAAGTTGATGCTGGCAAAAGAAGGCAGAAATAAAATATATCTGAAAGGTAGAAATAAGAAAATGTAATAACTAATTACCTGTGGGAACTAAGTACACCTCCAGGACATTGGGGATTGTGGTATTGATGACCAAAACAGAATCATAGAAATGCAATATTTTACAAAGATTTTAAAGGCAAACTCAGGGAATGATTCATGTTCAAGAAGCAGCTGAGTTTTGCTGTTTACTTGTTATTTAGGAGGTGCAAAATTCACTGGCGAAAATGTCCAAGTTATTGTTGAAACTCAGCTGAGAGGACGAAACCAAAGATGTAGTCTGGATAGTCATTCACAATGGAGCCACAGTCAAAGCTGTGCAGGAGAATTGATTCTCCTGGGAAGAATGTAGACAGAAAAGCAGGATACCAAAAGCTCGAACCTTTAGTCATTGTCTCTGCAGAACTCCCAGGGACTTGACTTCTATGTGTGGAATGATGATAGAGTCATTGGCAATGGATGAATATTGACGATGGATGACATGTTCAAACAGTTTTCTTTATTATTCCTCCATAGATTAGAGATTACTTGATTTTAAAAAACAAAGACATTTTGTATGCTCACAGAGCATGTGTTGGTGAGCAGCACCCTAGAAGACAGGATTAATGTGAAAGGTATCCTAGCCATTTGAAGAAGTGATCAGAAATTAAGAAGGTGCCACTGAATTATAACAAGTGCATAGTACATTGCAGTTAGGATGGGCAAAGGAATTAAGCTACAAAAATACAAAATGGAAGGACTCTGACAGGCTGTACATACAATGAGCAAAAATCTACAAGTCTCAGAGAAGAACAACTTGAAAAGGAATGTGCTGTATATATTTATGCTGGAAAATATAAAATGTTTATTAGAAAATATGTTTTCAGGCAGTAGAAAGACATAATAATTCAATCACCTTGTCATATTTGGCATTCAGAAGAAATACTTTAGACACATAATAAATGTATTTATCTTCAGGGTGCCTTTTTTGTAAGAGTTTAAGTTTATTAAATAAAATATAAAGGACATCAAAGAAAATTAATACATGACTGTAAAAACGTACTCCTAAAGAAAGGTCAGTAATCATGGTGTTTATTTTTGACATCAAAAGACCAAGGAAAACTTTAATAAGGATCAAGATCATTGGCCTGTGTGCAGTGGCTCATACCTGTAATCCTAGCACTTTGGGAGGCTGAGGTGGCAGGATCACTCGAGCCCAGGAGGTCGAGGCTGCAGTGAGCCATGATCACACCACTGCACTCCACTCTGGGCTACAAACTGAGACCCTATCTCAAAACTAAGCAAAACAAAAAAGATCATTAATCTGTGGAAGATCATTGTACAGAGTTGTTTGGCATCTCTATTGCAAGTAGAACGATAGGGAAATAAACTGAAGCCATGAATTTAAAAAACTCCCCCTATATATATATAAATATATATAAATGTATAAATATATATAAATATAAATATGTATATATACACACACATACACAGACCACACATACTGGCATACATACACATGTAAGTGTATGTTTGTGTAGAGTCTACAAGAGAATGCATCAAAATATTAATAGTTATTATTAGGATTGTAGGTGTTTTATTTGTTTTATATCTGTATCTTTTCCAAAATTACATATATTAAATATGCAATTTTTGTGTAGTAAGACAGATGAGTTATTTTTCTTTAAAAGTGTTTCTAGAAACAAATGTTACTTCTTTCTCCTTCCTGTCGCATTCTCAGCCCTTAATCGATAAAACTCATTTTTCATAAATCCTGAATAACAATAGTTCTGGCACCCCATTTTGTCTTTTTCAGATGCTAGTGAAAAACAATCACCTTTCAGACAAGATCATTGTTTTGCCAGGAAAAATTGAAGACATCTCATATCCTGAGGCTGTAGACATGATCATTTCCGAACCAATGGGATACATGCTGTTCAATGAACGGATGCTAGAGAGTTATCTTCATTCCAAAAAATGGCTAAACTCAAATGGTAAGTTGGCCCATTCTTGGTTTAAAAAACAGTCTGACTTCTCTGTAAAAGCATTTCTATTATACTCAATTACTTGTTTTTCTCATCTCATTCTTCCATAACAAATTAACTAGTCTCCAATCATAAGAACACAGGTATGCTGCACAGTATTCAACGTGGTATAGAGAACCAGGTCTGAGTTTTGTGTTTTTGTCCTAGTTCAATCCCTTCATTCCTTAATGAACTTGGGCTAACACTTGACCATTTGGCTTTGGTTTCCTCATCTGTAAAATGATATTATTACACATAATCTCTGATATCCTTTCAAGTGTTGGCCTTCTATAATGTGAGGAACTCTCTGGGGTCTGCTTGTTCTTTTTGACATGTTTTTTTTCCCTACTGTATTTCTCTCTCTGTCTATGATCACTACACATAGTCAAGATAATATTAAATCCAATATGCTTTTTGTGCTTTCCAAGCGACTGCATGTGCTAAGCAATTTGAATAAATTATTTTATAAAATCCTTATAAAGTCTGAATGATGAAGGTTTTCAATTTATTCGGGGGGTTAGCCTCGAAGCTAATTTTGAAACCTTCCCCAGGGACATTTGACAATGTCAGGAGACACTTTGGTTGTCACAATGGCAGCAGGGGCTGGGGTACTGGCATCTAGTGAATAGGGGCAAAGATGCTGTGAAGCATCCTTTGATGCACAGGACAGTCCCCTACATCAAAGAATTATCAGCCCAAAATGTCAATAGTATATGATTGAGACCTGGTTTAGCGGAGGGCATTGTTATGATCCCATTTTATAAAGAGAAAACTGAGACTCAATGAGGAAAAGTAACTTGGCAAGAACAGACATCTAACAATTGGCAGGCCAAGAATTTGAGCCTACATCCATCTGACCCTGAAGCCTACACTCATGACTTTGGCGCACACACTGGCTTTCCACTCTTCACCAGAGAAAGTAGACGCATTCCAACAGCAGGTGTTTTCAATTAAGACATCGGGGATAACTGGCCAATTTTAAGTTGCATCTTATGAGAATTTCAGCTCCTTACCCCAATTGTATTTATCTAAATTACCAGTGTTGTAGCTCCCTATCTTGATATTCAATGAAAACAAAATAGTGAACAACCATGCAACTCATACATACCAACATGCATTTAAGTGAAGTTTGAAGTTTATAATTTCCTACATGCTTCAAAATTCAGAAATAGGCACTGAAAGAAAATTCATGTATAAATAAATAAATAAGCTCAGGCAAAGTATACCTGATGTCAAGAACTTCATTAGCAATCTTGCTGTAAAACAGCTCAGGATGCTCTTGGAAGCCTTGTGTGTATGCGATAAAATTGAACTGTGGGAGATGAAAGTGAAGGTACAAAGTGGCTTGGATTTCCTCCTCAATGCCCCCAGGAAGAATTTGTATGGTTTTTTTCCTGGACTTTTTCAGATGGTTAGGTGCTTCTATATGATGAGATTTATAATGTAGTTAATTAACGTGTATCACCTGAGCCCCTCTTAAGCTCAGTATTTAGATAATATCTAGGTATTTTCCCTGGATATTTGAAATGAATATGACATTTTATACTGGGCTATATATCTTTAACTAGGCAAGTAGAAATGAATACTGATTTTATTGACTTTCTAGGCTATGTCTTCCTCAGGGAAGGGTGATTGATTTTTTGTCTAATTATTTATATATTCCATCAAAATAAGACATAGTTTAAAACATCAATTAACAATAAAAAGGCTTATAATGAAAAATAGTAGCCTTCTGCCACACCTCTATCATCAGACTGCTCTCCAAAAGCAACCACTTTCAACTCTATCTGTTGTTTCTTCTATTATTTACCTACATATTCCTATCTAAGATGATTACATTGCTATTCTCGTCACTCTCTGCTTGAGAATTCAGCTTTCCTGAATAGCAGCTCCTTCCTTCCTGATGCACCTACCCCACCGCCATCCTCTCAATGTATTTAGATAAGTCCTCAGTTCCTTTATCCCAACCCTTAGGGCCAGATATGTTTCAGAATTCAGCATCTAAAGGACTTTTGAAAGTTAATATGATCACATACCATGTACTACTTAATTCTCCCAGTGGGATCTGAGGCAACACTCTGTAATGAAACACATTATATTCCTGCAACAAAACATAAGAATATTGATACCAAGTGGAATAAATAAAGACTACAAATAAACTCTCGTGTTAGTTCAGGTCGGGTTTTGCCATCAAATGATGCTGCCACAAACTTATAAAAATCTGTTGCTTTTCAGATCTCAGAATTTAGCATAAAGAAATATAGGCCTAGATCATTATTTGGTTAAATCAAGAATCAACGTTTACAGTGTTATGATGTAATGTAACTATTGTTGAATACTGAGTCAGATGGTAGAGTAGATGCTGTATGCTTATGTATGTTTTCTCATATAATCTTTTGTTTTTCCCAGAGTTAATTGTCTTGGTTTCTTTTATTAGCTTAGCTTTTATATATTCATGGTTAAGTGTTTCTATGCTCCAATAGATCTGACAGATGCCATCAATATGTGTTCCTCTGTTGCTCCCCTCTATTCAGTAGTCCTCTGGCCTTCTCTAGCAACATGAACTGAGTGTTCTGCAGCCCCATTGCATGACAGCCACACTTTGACTTTCCATCATCATCCTTTTGTCTTCCTCTTTGTTGGTTTACGACATCATTTCAGCAAAGGATATTCTCTACCAGCTTCTGCAGAAAAGGAGCTTGAGGAGTTACTTTTTATCAAGTCCTTGTGCTATTATTTGGTCAAGAATTTTACTTAAAAACAATTTTTAATCAATATTTTTAAAGCTTGTGTTTTGGTTTTTGTGTTTGGTTTCTGTCTGCAAATCTTGCTATTGAGAAGTCAATGCCATTCTGACTCCTGCTCCTTTAGAGTAACAGTTTTCCCCTCTAGATGCTTTTAGTATCTTCTTTTTAATTCTAGTGTTCTAGTGAGAATCTTTTTTAAGTTCCTGTGCTGGAAATTCAATGAATATGTTTAATCAGGAGGCTGATTTTCTTCTGTTCTTGGAATTTTCAAAATATTATACATCTGATTTTCTCCCCTCCATTTTATCTGACATTCTTGGAATTCCTATTAGATTGAGGCTCATAACATCATCCTCTAATCTTCCCAAGTTTACACAAGCAGTGATACATATTACTTCTCTGAGGTTATTTAATATCCTTCTATCATCTCAAAATTGAAAAACCACCAAGCAATCATTATTGTTTTGATACCCATGCCTGAGATTTAGATGGGGACATATGAATGAGGTTATGATCATGCTTTGCCCCTGACCACTTCTGAAAATACCCCAAATAAAATAACCTGTTTTCACAGATATGAAAAGCCACATAGTTTAAGGATGGGACACTGACTATCAGACGAGATTCCACTCCCTGGATTTTGCTGTGCTGTTTGTTAACTCTGTGATACCAAGTAACTTAAATTTCTCTGTTTTCCTGTTTATAAAATGGACATAATAATAGAACCCACTTTATCTTGGTATGAGAATTATATAAATTAATGCATGGGAAACCCTTGGAAAAGTACATGAGAGGGTCATCATAACTGAGAAATTTTAGCTATTTTTATTGTTTTTATGACAGCGTCTCTGGTGTCTTAAGTCAGCCTTATTTCTGAAATATAGTTAATAGTTCCTCTTTCTTTCGTGTGCAGTTTAATAAATGGCTATAAAAAGATTTTCCCTAAAATTGCAAGAGTAACAATGCTGATCATCAGGTCTGCCTACTCAGAAAGGCCCAACTTCAGGCATGCCAATCTAGGTGCTCATTTGCCCACTGAAGAATCTACCTTTCCTGTAGTGATTGTGGATGCCAAGAAATAGCACAAATGTGTATTTCCCAGCGTGAAGATTGGCGAGCATCCATATAAACATAAATCCCAAAAGCACCTAAGAAGACAGGTGGTCGATCTGATTCTACATGGACAAAGTCTGAGAATGAGAATAATAATGTGATGGGAGAATGGGATTTTGATTATTTTTAAAGCTAAATTATTGTTATAATAAATAAGAGAATAAATAAATTAAATCAATCAATCCATCAATCAATCAATCCAGAATTCATAGGACAAACAGAAAGGGGAAAAAAAGCCAGTAACTGAGAAGGCAACTGCCAGGTTGAAAGGCTTGCCTAAGTCTCTGTAAGCTTTTATCATTGTATTGCTTTGTGACTTGCTTAGATACTCTTTTCTATAGCTCCTCTATTCTTCTGCCTAATTTTGTATACTTGCATTGAGACAAAATTATATTTTGTCCTGTCATGTCATAACTGAAGCAAAAGAATGGAATTGGTCTCAGGTGGCAGATGAGTACAGCCTTCAATCAGAAAGGGATAGAAGCTGACTTCTGGGTCTGTTGTGTTTTGCTCATCAGGAATGATGTTCCCGACATTCAGTGACATCCACTTGGCCCCTTTTTCTGATGAACAGCTCTATGTGGAACACTTCTCCAGAGCCAATTTTTGGTAATGTTCTTTTTTCCTCCCTTCCTTTCCCTTCAAAGGAAACCAGAGTTTTTAAAATTATTGCTATTTGGGGTCATATGTGTGTTGTTGGGTAGGGGGAGGCGGGGCGGCAGCAGTGAGGCACCTATCCTGTACATTGTAGAATGTTTAGCGGCATCCCTGGTCTCTACCTACTAGATGTTAGTCACATCTTCCCCCCAGAGTTGTGACAACCACAAATGCCCTCCAGACACTGCCAAATGTCCCCTTGCAGGATCGCCACCAGTTGAGACCACAACTCATAAATCAGAGACAGGTGAATCAAGGAGCTGTTCATGCAATATCAAACATCCAAAAAGCTATCCTACTGCTAAAACAACATCCTCCCCTGCCTGCTGCCGTTCTCTTCCCATTTTTCACCATCCACTTCTTTGACTCTTGGCAATGGTTTCTGTTAGGACTTGACTTTGACAGAGAACATATCAATGAGTACACCTGATAAATGAGTTGATCAAACCTTTATGGAGTTTTAATTGGCAGTTGGCTTTTGGGCCCACTTCACCCCTCTGAGATTGAGTTTCTTTATGTGTAAAATGGGAACTGATACAAAAGCTCCTGCCAGTTTTAAACCACCATTGCTTCTGGGATTCCTTTCTGAGAACTGGTTTTTATAAGAAGAAGGAAGGAAGGAGAATGGGAAGGAGAAAGAGAGCAGATATCATCTGTATCAGAATGTTACATGTGTGGGAGCACAGGCAGGTCCTGCAGGAGGTTCAGGATCCTCAAATTTAAGGTTTGACTTTGGTCTGAGGTATACAGGGCCTTATAATACAAAGAGGTCCAAAGTTGATTTCTGGGTTTTTCTCTTTGTAATCCTAGAGAAGGGACAGCAAATAAGAGGTACTTTGGTTTCCAGGGCTACTAAGCTCTTTGAGGAGTGGGGTCAAATGGCTGATTTTTCTTTCCTTTTTTTTTGGCAAAATAGGCTTTCCTAGCACAGATTCAGAGCATTTTGTGGTTTTGTTGAATCTGAAACTCTGAGGTTCTAAGCCACAAGCTTTCCCAAGGGGGTGAATGGCTTCTTGGTGTATATACGTGTCGGGTGGGGCAGGGGAATGGTGGGGGAGCTTTTACCTTAATAATCATTGCTCTGTGAGATTATGCTGACCCTAAATGATTACATTTTTATTATGACCTCCTGAGGAAATGCAGAGATGAAATGGTTACGAATTTTAAGCAGCAGAATAGACCAGACCAACGAACTAGAGGTTTGTCGTCCAGGCAGTCCTTGTGTGACCTTCCAATCATACCGTCTGCTGCCATCTTACTAACTTGAGGATATTAATGATCACAGCAGTTTGGCTCAGTTTTCCACCACATACCAACATGCTGCTATTTGTTGCATCTAAAAATGAAAAACAGAAACAAAAATGAAAACATCATCTTCTCTAGATGTCACTTTCCCAGTCAGCCATGGCCAACTCTCTAAGCCCCTTTCAGCAAAATTCCTCTGAAGGGTTGTCTATACTCAGTGTCCAACTCCCCCATTCTATTTCTCACTGGAGCCATTTCTCCAAAACCACTCTTTTTGAGGTCACCAGTGCCCTGACCTCCACATTGCTAATGCCAGTGATCAACTCTCACTTCTCAACTTATCTAATTTACTGGCATCATTTGAAACACTCTTTTTGCTTCATGATCTTTTGATTTTTCTCCTCCCTTGCTGACACTTCCTCAACCAGCTATCATTGTTACTTGTCTTCATAAGCCCCTGATGTCGGAGTGCCCCAGGATGCAGTGTTTGGACCTTTTCTCTGTGCAGGCTCCCTTGGTGAGCTCACCCATTCTCATAACTACAAATACTATCCATAGGCTAATGGTTCCCAAGTGTCCCTCTCTAGTGCAGACGTATCCTCCAAACGTGGTATTTTCCTAGTAAACTTCCTCCTGGATGTTTCCCCCTTGCAGAAATTTACCATGTGCAAAATTTAATTTCTGATCTCCCAATTTCTACCCAAAACCTGCTGTACTGCTAGTTTTTCTGTCTCAATTGATAACTTTATCCTCTCTATCATTCAAGCCAAGAACTTTGAAGGCCTCTCTTTCTTTATCTCCTGAATCCAAACCATCAAGTAATTATATTGGTTCTACTTTCAAAATCTATCCAGAATCACACCAATTTTTATTATATTCACTGTTTCCTCTTTTTCTCAACACCATCATCTCTCATCTAGATTACTGCAATAGCTTCTTACCTGTCTATTCTCAACAGAGCCAAAGCCTCGCAGGAGCTTCTCCATAGTCTGGCTCCCAGTTACTCTCTAGCCTCATTTCCTACTCCCATGTTCATTTGGGTCCTGCTTCACAGGCCTGTGTGCTGATTCTCAGACACATCAGGCATGCTCCTAAGTTAGGGCCTTTGCATTTGCAGGGTTTTTTTTTTTTTCCTTTGAATACTTTTTCCTCAATGTTCACATGGTCAATTACTTTAACTCCATAAAGTGTTTGTCAAATGCCACCTTCTCAATGAGATTTACCCTGACCATCCTATTTTAAATTGCACCCATGCCATGCCCAACCCTTATTTTTCAATTCTATGTTTTTTCTCTAACACTTACAGCATCCTAAAAGATATATAACCTGTTCCTATTATTATCTATGGTCTGTATCCCGCTTGATAAAATGTAAGCACTGGAAGGTCAGCAATGCTGTCAGTTTCCACCGGATGTATCCCAAGCACCCAGAACACTGCCTGCCACAGGGTAGGCTCTCAGTAAATGTTTCTGAATGAATAAAAACTTCAGTATGCCCAAACATGCATGAAAATAATTATTAAGATTTTAGGTGCTATAGTTCCAGTTTTTCTATTCTTTCTTTACAAAAACAGAATCAAAAGTACCATTTTATAGCTTGTTTTTTTTTGTTTTTTGGTTTTTTTTACTTTCACAATACTTTGTTGACATGTTCTCACATCGTCTACATATATTTGACTGAAGAGTATTTCTTTTGTGACTCATAATTTATTAACTCAGTTTTCAATGTTGAATATTAAATTATTTTAATTGCCATTTTAGTCCTATAGATTCTATAACAAACCACACCAAGGTTTCAATATTCTATAAGAATATAGAATCCTATAGAATTATATATCCTAAATTCTATAAGACACGACACTAAAGTGAACATCCTTTCATATAAATTTTGGTGTACATTCTGATTATTTCCATATGATAAATTGCTAAAAGCAGAATTACTGGACCAAAAAATGTGAAGAAGGAACTTATAAAAAATTATTCTTATATATTGCCAAATTGCCCTCTAGAAAAGTTTTACCAATTAACACTTCCACCAGTGGTATTTGGGAATGTCTGCTAAGTCTTGCCCATACGGGATATGCTTTTTAAAATGCCAATTTGATTTGCAAAAAAAATGGTGGCCAGTTTATTTTTAATCTGTATTTCTTTGATAGCTGGTGCATTTGAACGATTATTTTTAGTCAACAAACACAAAAATATTTTTAAAAATATATAGTTATCAAAATTCACAGCCTTTGCTTTCCTTCTAATTCCTCTCCCTTTGTGAGGTTTCTGCATTAGTCGACTGGCATTTGTGTCTCTTGTTGCTTTGATCCAGGAAACAGGTGGTGAATGCTTGCATGATTTCTGTCAGAAGAAGCAAAGAAGTGGATATGTACTCTGGGGAGTGGTGCAAAAAATAAGTTTGGGTGAGATCTCTCAGCTGAGAGATGAAGGAACAACTAATTGGCTAAACAAGATCATCAGATGCAGTCAGTTTTCAGTCCTCACCTGATTTTCTTATTATCTACACTTGACACAGTTGACTCTCTCTTTGCTCCACTTCTCAAGCCTGAACCTGTTTTTTCTCCTACCTTTCTGGCCCCTACTTCTCAGTTTCCTTTGCTGATTCTTCCTCATGGCCCAAATCTTTAACATTGGAGTGACTCCAGGTTTCTTTCTTACATGTCTTCCCCTTTCTGTCAACACTCACTGTCTTACTTGATCTCATTCTGTCTCTTGGCTATAAATACCGTCTTTCTGTCTACAACTCGCATAGTTAGAACTCCAGCCCAGACCTCTGCCCAGAACCACAGACTTGGATGTCCAACCGGCTGTTGACAACTACACTTGGATGTCTATTGGGCATCTCAAAATTAACATGCTTAAATGCAAGCTACTGATCCTCACCATCTCCCCACTGCCCACCTTTGCAAAACAAAACACCCCTGTGTCTACTAACAGTCTTGGCAATAGCCTTCTAACTTAAATCCTCTTTTTAAACCACAACCATGCTCTTGATGAAACATAATTCAGATTATATTATTTCACTGCATAAAGTCTTTTAGTGGCTTCCCTGTTTCTGCATAGTGAAAGCCAAAGTTCTCATAATAGTTGGGAAGACTGTACATGATCTAGATCCTACCCTGCTACCCCTCTGACTCTGTCTCCTGCTACTTCCTCTCTTACTCTCTCTCCCCTCTGGCCTCACTGGCTGGCCTCCTTGCTTCCCCTGGAACAAACCAGGCATGCTCCTGCCTCCCTGACATTCACTCTGCCCAAGACACAGACAATCCAGTGGCTTTTCTCACCTCCTGCAGGTCTTTGCTCACATGCCACCATCCCAGAGAAACCTTCTATTAATTACAAACTGCAGTCTCTTTCCTCCTGCAAGCCTGTACCACACTTCTCAATTCATTTTTCTCTATAGCACTTATCACCATATACTGTGTTATATGTTTTTACTTATTTATTGTCTATCTCCCCCATGAGACTGCAAGTTCCCTAAGTGTGGCTGCTTCATTTACTTCTATAGCCCTGTCATCTAACCTGGCTAATGGTAGTTGCTGAAGACATTTTTGGTGATTAGAAGATGAATGCATTGATTTGTAAAATTTCTATCTATATTAAGGACATTAAGACTGTTGTATTTTCTTCAGAATTTCCAGCTTGCCTTGTAATTTTATTTGTGATAGTTTTGACCACAAAACAACTTAAACTTTTTAT